ACAGACAGGACATTGGAGCAAACCAGGTCCTAAAACAGCATTGATGACTTTGTAAATTGTCAGATTAAATCACATCATTAGAAGACACCCCACTCCTCCTTTCCTACACCTACAGATCAGAATTTTGAGTATTTAAGTATTTAAGTATTAAGTATTTAAGAGTTTCATTCCCACTCTAACCACATTTAGATTAAGTACTCCAATGTCTGGGGCACATACATTTTCCAATTTGACCCACATTTGCCAAAGAGAAGCATTAATACGCAGTTAGGCAATGTTACTGACCAACACCTCACAGAGGATGTTCTATTGCAACATTGTAGTTTTGGAAGGTTTTTTTGTTTTACCAAAGGAAGCTGCCAAAGGAAGCTACTTCATAGTCCTGAAGTATCTGAAGAGAATCTTTCCCCAGAAAAAAATTTTTTTAGGAAGCCTTATTGTGACTGTTAAGTATTTTATGCAAATTGTTTAGAATGTCTTTTTAATATCAAGATTGTTTCTGATTACCAAGTACTCTCCACCTATTCAGTGCAAGAAGTTACCATCTTCAGGCTTCTTTCTGCCTTTACTGACATTTTATCAAATTAAGTGCTATTATGTTTCAAAACACAGAGTTCACTTGCTGCTGCCAGAGGAAAGTCAGAGAGACAATTGAAAATCTGGACAAGTTACACTGTTTGTCACAAATTAATGGAGCAGTATGCAAATTGAGCCTTGAGATGGTTTTTGCCATTGCTTCTTAGTGAGTATTAAAAATACAATGTGTTGCTGGAAACATCATTACATAGAAGTGTTTCTCTGGTTAAAAAAAGACTTTTTAGTTGCAAAAAAGTTAAGTAGTCTTCTCTGAAATATCAGAGAAAAGCATTTCATTACAGAAAATTAAAGAGGAAAAAAAAAGCTTTTAAAATAGGAATCTACATGTAATCGCAAATTATTCTGAGGTAAACACAGCAGCAGATAGGAAATGCCATGACGATAGTTTCTAGAGAAATCATTTCACATTTTTCTCATTACAGTGTTATTTGTATTAGTAAATTGTCAATCAATATATTAAGCTGCAACTGGTTTTTAACAGTAATTTAGTTCTATAACATATGAACAGAACATAATGTTTCTGCTTCGTTATCACAGATGTTAATCACTGCTGTAATACAAGCTGATTTAAATGCTCGTCAGAGTATATGATTTGTCAGGGGAAAAATTCTTACTTAGGGCATGACAAAGTTTTTAGCAAGTGGCCAATGATAACTCCTAGAAGAGATAAAAGTAAGTAACTTGGAATTTAATTGCCCTCATCAGAAGACATCTGCTTTAATCAATCAGCAATACAATCTCCATGTCATTTTGATCTTACTACTACTAAGAATGATCAGAAATACTTATTTCATTTTCATTTCAGTCCCAGTAGATTGACAATACTTCCCAGACACAAGAACACCCAGTAAAGCATGTTTTTAACATTTTGGTGTTGACTTACTGCATCATGCCTTAACTTTTCTGTATTTCTAAAGCCACCTAAAGTCTACCACTAGGCTTGACATGCAGCTGCACACCTGCTAAGAAGGGCAGATTAACCTGAAGTTCTATTTACTATTCCATAGATCATAGGCCTATTAAAAATTTGCAGCAAGGTCCTGCCCAGCACCTTCAGACTGTAAATAGTCTAAAGAATAGTTGAAAAGATGCCACTCTTGGACTGAGATATTCAAGCTGACAAACACCAGAGATCTGGCAAGCCCAAGTTTCACCATCTCTAGAGAAATCAGTAAAATACCACCCTCCCTTCCTTCCAGTTGCAAAAGGGTTAGAGATCAGATACTGGGGGAAATACAGCCCAAGTAATTTTTCAGTAAAATAAAACAGCTACTAACTTGAAGCAATGGTATGAATATTTTATTCCTTCTCCCTAATCTATTCTCAAGCACTGTCATAGCAGACGTCACACCAGATTAATGAGACCAGCAACAATATACATGGTGGTATTACTACCAGCATTTTGTTAACACACTGCTTTTCATCTACAAAATGAATATGCAGAAGCTCTGAAAAAGCATCTGGCCTTTATTCTTATGGACTCCAGTAAAACAACAGAATACATTCTATTAAAAGAAAAAACCTGACACTAAACAACCAGGAAGATCTTGAATAGTAATGGAGGGGTTTACAAGAAACTTGCAGAACGCAATCTTCCTGGTTTTGTAATACGTGGCACTGCTCCCAGTAAGACAAAGAATTCAGTTCATGCCAATAATAGTTTCCTGTTCAAAAGACGCTTCCAGAAATGGCCAACCTGTACCTCTTGAAATACACACCGTTTGCAACAATTCACATTATCAATAGCAGAGGTTTGGTGGCTGGGGAGCATCAGATTTCCTATGTGCATGACCAAGTGAGCCAGCAGACTGGTATTTCCCAAGGAAAACCATCAGGCCGGGGCTTGCAGCACACCCATCCCAGCTCAACCCAGTGTGAACAGCAAAGAGCCAGGGCTCTGCCCAACCTATCGACCATGCCTGGGGCCTTCCCTTCCTCTCAGCTTTTGATTCTGCTGCTATATGCCTCCTGGACACAGCAATATTTTAGTTTGTATCTTATAGAAGCCAATGGGAACATGCAATAACATTAACAGAAAAATCCATGACAAGACGTTTGGTGGCGCGACAGTTTCTACAATTCCAATAGTTCAGTGAGGTTTTAAAGCAATACTGCAATCTAACTCTCCCCCCAAAATTCCATCATAATTAATGTGGTATTTCCCTAAAGCCTCAATACATCTACAGTTAAGACCACATTTCTTAAATTAGACTTTTCTATCTTTTTAACAGACACTGTCTAAATTACTTGGTCTTATGACCTATAGCTAACAGAATTCATGTCTCTAGAGCAAAGCGCTGACTTTCTGAGTCCCACTGCAGCAAGGGCAAACTTAAGTAAGCTCTTGATAACGTATTTTTTTCTTGAACTGATACAGGGAATCTCCAAAATGTCACAATTTACACATTGTTCCAAATAATACAGTTGAACAAAGTGCACAGAGAAATTATAAATCATGCTTTTATCTTAATAAATAATTTCATATGTCATAAAAGCAGATGTACTAAATACTTGCTTCTAACTAGCTGCCCAGTGTCAGGAGTTCAGATGTTTTCATATTGGCCAAACTTACCCCTGAGAAACAGAAATTTCCTTTTTATATTTTCAAAGATATGAAAATACCGTTGGAGGAAAAAAGCATAAAAACAGTGCCTCCTTACTCGATCTATCTGTTTCCTCTGCACGATTTGAGTTATATTTGCTAGCTTTGTTGAGAAAAAAAAAAAATCTATTCTAACTTCAGTAAGACTTCAGACACAGCGATCTCTATGACATTGGGTCTTCAAATCACTGGGAAGAAAAATAACATTTTTCTCCAAGAGAAAAAATGGATTTTATTGCTTTATTAAAAGGTGGTGTCAGTATTTCTTTCCTCAGCAAAGGAAATTTCCTGAAGTTCCCATTTTCTTTTGCCATCTGTTTTGTACTAAGATACGGCAAATACAGGGGATTTGTATTTTGCTCCTATTGTCTAAAAACCTCCCTATTTTTTTATCTCAGGAACAATCAAAAAAGTAGAAGGAAAAATCTGTGGCACATCTAGACAATTCTGATTTCTGCTTTGAAAGGAAATTTCAAACTCTGGAATACACAGCAGGTGCAGTATTCCATTGGTCTTGATTGTGGGCAGAGAAATACAGTTTCACAGATAGCTTCAATTTTTCTTCCAACTCTGAGGCTAAACTTAGAGCTTGGAAAAGGCCAATGCCTGTGCCAAAAAAGCACATTCTGCTATATACCGTGCAATTAAAATTGACTTTAGTTTTCATCTGCTAATTGCAGCCAATTTTACTCCCAAGACCACTGCTCAGATGAAGTTGAATTTTGTTCCAAACAGTAGAAAAATATCTACTGTGAACAAACAAGAAATACAACAGACAACAAAACTTACATTTGATGGTGACCTGATTTGCATTTGCTCAGTCATGTTAATTTATTTCTATACTTAGGTGAAAGCTGTATTTACCACTCACTTTGTTACAAATATGGGTCAACAAAACTGCTGCAAAATAATTTAAATGGTTTTCCGGTTAGAGGAGAGTGGGGTGAAAATACCAATGCCTCAATCACGTCCCTAATTTGATAAAATAACTTAGACAGGGGCAACAAGAGACAAATTATAACCAAATGTGATCACATTACAAATTTAAAAAAAATACTACTACATTCTCAGATATCAGACTGAAAACACTGATGTCTATAAAATATTTCTGACAATGAACTACCAACAAGTGAAGCTAAAATAGAACAATTATTCAAATGAAAGTTGAAAGAAGTCATCCCACATTTTACTCTCATAGGCAGCTGCCACTGTATGTTGATGTTTATTCAGCACAAAATTTTTAAATTTAACAGTAGAATAACTTAGTAGAAGAATTGCAAACACCTTCAGTGAGTCTCTGACCAACCGCGATGTCACCGTGACAAGTAGAACTAACACCATGAACCATGGAAGCAGAAAGTATGCTTTCTTCTTGAAGTACGCTTGCACTTGTGATGACAAAGAGGACAAACTTCTGTGTTTTTTAACTGAGTAGTGGGTAATGCACATTTTAGGAGCTTAGCGTTGAAAATTACTTGGAAAAGCTAACACCTGTTCATTAAGAAAAAGTATTTAAAGCCCTTAAGATAAATCACTTCAACACTTACCAAAACTAAATTATATCTAAATTACTAATACTGGGAACAGTTTTCTTTCTGTTTTTCCTATCAGGCACATCTGTATAGACCTGAATGTTTTGTCCTTTGTCCTTTCAACAACAAAGTATCTTAAATCCACTGTCAAGTAGCATCTGTAGTTTATAGTCCTAGAATTTGTTTTGCTTCTCCACATCACTCTAAACAATTTTCTGCTTATCATAATGACAAAGACAACCAAAGAACAAAACCTTCACATACTGTACCTGCAAAGCACAGTTCATCATCCGCACAATGTAGTCAAACTGCTGATGGTCCAGTATTGCTCGATTTTGTTTAACATGCAGGCCTAATTCCTGTGTCAGGCAGTGCCGAGCTGCCTTTCCTTTCAGGGCTCTCAGAGCTGCAGGCAGAGTCTGGAGACAAGAAAATCTAACTTTATGAAAATGAAATGAAATGAAATGGCACTATTCACACTGGATATCATTCATTCTTTATCAAGAAACTGCAAGCGACAGTATACTGAAGAACAACTTTAGCAATGACTTATTAGCTTGAATATCAAACTTTCACAGAATGGTTGGTTTAGCTGGAGTAATTATTAAATTTTTCCCACCTTTTTTCCAAACACATTAGACAGCATTTCTCACCTACGTCTGTAAATAGAAATGATTGAATAGGGACAGGCATTGAATGGATGTGAAATCAGAAATGCATTATTGTGCATGAAAAAAATCAAGTGGTCTATTCTGTACCAGCCAGGCCAGGTCTCAAGTTAGCGTATCAAGGCCAAGCAGCATGTTTTTTGATAAGCAGTGAATGACAAATGGCTTTAGAAGTGGCATACCTCTCATAGCAAAGAGGCCACAAGACTGTTAGGCAGTTTGTGCTAAAACAGTGCCAATATAATATTTATGCCAATGTTTTAAAGATGCAGCAACTGTTACATCAGTGATATCAGCTGTAGCTCTTTAGACTAGATGTAATGGATGGTAACAGATGAACAAGAAAAGGTAGCCTATCGTCTAAGGACAAATTTACCATGCAGGGGGACAAAAAACTACTGAAATTTTCTCAGTGTCTGTAAGTTGAAAGACGTTAAAAACTACTCTGTTACACATGCATCTAACTCTTTTTAAAGAGCTACACATTTTATTAGGACTTTTCCCATAGGCATTTCCATAACATTACTTGTAAATCAAGAAATGCTCATTTTCTACCTTGAGCTGCACAGCCTCAGAGATACATAGGTGATACTTTTATGAGAAATCAAAAAAATTCTTAACATAATTTTACAGCCATTTTCATATTTAGAATTAGATTTGAGAGTAAGCTTGAACGATTGCTCTAGAATCACTAATTGAAAACTCTTTTGAATCTACAAAACCTGGCAATTTCTTAATGTGACAAAATAAGAATGAAAACTCACTAGTACACTTTAGTGCAGACAGACATGCCAAACATTTACATTCATCTCTGAGTTCTATAAATTATTGATAAAACCAGCAACTTACTGTAGTGAAAATTTCAAGAGCATTGGTTGACAAACACTGAAATGTCTATGTATGCCTTTTGTTTACATTCCCCCTAATCAATACTGCTACACCAACACATAACCCTTTTAAAAAATATCATGTGGACAATACTGTTTATAATAGTAATATAAATTAGCAACACACCTACGCAATACTACAAACAGGTTTGCAAATCCATCAGCTTCATATGACACACAGTACTGCATTTAGACAATTAGTCTTATTACTTAATTCATTCACTTAAATGGTTAAAACAATCGTTAATATTTGAAACAAGACTGCAAAATGTACTTTGTGACAAGGTCAGTCTCCATTTGCTCATTAACAGAACGGAGGCTTATTTGGGAAAGTTAAAATTTCATTTTATTACCTTTTCAGTCTCCAAAAATTTGTTTTCAAAAATGAATGAGATGCAGTTTCTAACAACTTCCAGCCTTTGTGCACTGTTGAAAACTGTGCTTCCTTTTTCCATTATGGAAACTAACAAAGAAGAAGAAGAATATACATCTGTGAAATGTCTTCTGCAAAAGCCATAAAGAATACCTGAAAGTTCTTTAAAAAAAAAAAAAAATTCATGTGCCCTCCGTTTTGTTCTGTTAAGCAAATACCATTAGTAGGCATATACAGATGGGAACTTAAGATCCTATATCTTCGGCTTTCCTGTACTATCTGAAGAGAGTGCTCTGAATTTTAACTAGAGCAGTTGATTCTGTTTACTACTTGTCCTATTTGCCTCACACAGGCACAAAGATTCAACCTCTAAGATCCTACTGAAATATATAAATAAATAAAAATTAATTAAAGAAAAAGAGTGTGTGTGTTCTGCAGTGAAGTATGTGGCCTTGCATATTTTGGAGCAGCAGATAACTTTTTCCCTAAAGAATTCATTGGCTGTGATAAGAATTCTGTGACATGGAATAAACCTGACAAACCTGTTCTCTTATCTAGATTCCAATTTGCTGAGATCTAAAGATTATTTTCTTAATGCAGTGTTTCACTCTGAATTTTCAAGAAAATTCGGAATGGAATAACTAACATTCTCTTTTTCTCTTTATTATCACGCAAACAGAGTATAAATGCAGAACATGCTCTTCTTGTAGATGATAATGAGCTCCTAATATCCAAGGATTTTGACACACAGGACAGCAGGGAGGATGAGTGTGAAAGCTGTTCCTTAGGGGAAAAAACCCAACAAACCCAACCCAAAAAAAAAACCCCAAACCCCAAAACCACCAACAGAAAAACCAACACTTTGACATAAAAATTAGCTTATTAAGAAGAAAACCTCTTGCATCTAGCCTTTTAAAGAAAGGCAACAGAACACAAGCACCTACTCTTTAAATTTTCTGTAAGTAACAGATTCAACAATACAGTCAACAGCAAAGGCAGGTGAATAGAGTTCATCTTCTTAAATAAACCCAAAGAGAAACAGGCCTGGAAGGGGCCTCAAGAGGCCCTCTAGTTCAGCCTGCTGTCCCTAGACAGGATCAACTGTATTTATATTATTTCTCATGCTTGTCTAGTATGTTCCCAAAGTTCTGTGATAACAGAGACTCCATGGCTTCACAAGAAATCCATTCAACTGCCTCACAATCCTCATTTTACCAAGTTTTTCCTCCACTTTTGTGCTGCAATTAAACCCATTATCTCTTATCACTACAGATTACTCCCTTTCTGTTTTTAACAGCCTCTTATGTAATTGAAGACAGCTATTATATGTTCCCTCAGTCTTCTATTTTTCAATCTAAACAACTCTCCATCTTTTCTTGTAGGTCACATTCTCCAGACCACTGGTCATTCTTGTTGCTTTCTTCTGGAGTCCCTCCAACAGAACCAAAACCAGAGACAGTCTTCCAGTGTCCAAAAATGGATACAAAAAGTCCAGCTGAGGTCTTACTGAGTACAATGAAAGGATTTCTCCATGGGGTTCACTGACTGTACTCCTGTTTATACATCCTACTAAGATGTTTGTCTTTGTTGCAATAGCTTGATATAGTTGGGTCACGTTTGCCCTATGATAATCATAATCCCCAAATTAATTTCTGAAGAACTGTTGCCTAGTCAGCTGATCATGCCTATGCAAGTGCAATACCTTATTTGAAGAAAAACAGTAGAGAAGGACAAAATTCAACAGACTATATCGCTAATTTTTCAAGATTGACTTGACTTCTAATCCCGTCCTTAAAACATTTTACAAACTCTGCCAGCTTCCTGTGTCCTACAAGTTTACTAAACATACTTGTTTAAACCATCATTCACATTGACGAATATGACTATGATTAAGAGAATTTTTTAGCATTAAAATTAAATTGACAGGCCTACAATGGCTACATCTGTTTTCTGTATTTAAATATAGATATATTTATTTTGAGACAGATGCTATGTTTGTTCCTTGCCTTTTCCTGGTAATTTACACATCTTCAACTTGTGTCAAAGGAGAAACCCTATCTCTTTAAAGCTTGGGTCAGCCAGTCCTACAAGTAACCTACAGTGATATTCATCAGACCTAGATGAGTAGACAATATCTAATTTAATAGTTTAACCTAACTCAGATCAAATCCTTTTCTGTTGTTAGTAATTATGCCACTCACTGTCTCGATGTTTGACTTCTTACTAAAGGCTGATGCAAAAGGGTTTTTAAAATTGCAAAGGCAAACAGGCAAGTCTATGTACTAAAGTTTACTACGATCGCTAAAAATATGGTATCAACATGAAATTGGGAGCAACACATTGCAGCCATGCTAATTACATATTCAGCTCATGAGATAGGATGCCAAATAGGTTTAAGTTGCGGAACAAGTAACATACCGACAGGGGGACCCGCTGGAACAACGCACTTCTTGTCCCCCCGGGTGGCAGGAGGGGCACCCTGACTCCTTGCGAGACCTTCCTGGAGGAGCTCCTGAACCCGGCACTCATTGATCCGGGGGAAAGGGAGGATGTGGACCCGCAAGTGGGAGCCCTCTGTGGGCCGTGGCACTTTCTGGAATGCTATGTGGGGATTGGGATTCTCCTGCAGGTGAGAAGCAAAAGGTTATACACAAATGTGCTACACAGCATTACCATCTGTCACATCCAGTTTTATTGCTGTTTCGTGTATCTGTCATACCTGAAAGATTAAGCCAAGTACCTAATGTAGCTGACTAATGTTTCATATTCATATCACCCTTGATTTATTATCTGCTACTTTCAACTTTGTTAAAGGCTTTTGCAAGATTATTTCTGTCAACATGCAAAACTCAAAAAGAGAGAGCAAAAGAAAATCGGTGCTTAACTTAGTTTGATTTTATGCAGCTTAATGAATATTTAGGACTTGAACAGAAATTAGTTTGACAATCAATCTCTTCATTAGAGAGAGGGTTGAAGAATATTAAAACATACAATCTCTTCACCAAGTACTGAGAAATAATCTCATGTTGATCAAGACTATGAAGTGAAAATTCATTTTTGTACCACATTGTATCAAATTACAGCCATCCCTCACTAGGGACCAATTTTCTATTTTCTGTATGTCCCATAAAAATATATCACACAGCTCACTGTTTGCAATAAAAAAAAATATGAAAAAGTTAGTACAGGTGATCAAAGAACGTAAATGATGGGCCTAAACTACAAGTACAGTAAAAAGAAGCTGTACCATCAGATTTTGGGGTGTTCTCAAAGGATAGAAAACACTTCTATTGTTACAAAACAATCAGAATCTCCTCTGTGAAGATAAACATTTGCCTACATGATTTTTCATTCACTGTTTTACAGTCTTTTTTTTCTTTTTCTTTAAAAGAAAATGTCATAAGCAGCCCCAAAGAAAGCTTTTCTCCTTGCTTTTCAGTTTTCCTGCAGAGGTCTTCAGAATTAAAAAAATACAAAAAATCAGTCTCATATTGCAGAACACTGACTTATCAAAATAACTGGCGCATCTGCTACTATCTAATTATTTTATTTGTCTTGATCTCAACATTATCATGCAATACTGAAGCCATTAGCAAAGTATGTACTGTATCAAACAACAGAGATGTGACTGTATATGTCATATTTGAAGACTTGCTCTGTGTAGGTAAGCTGTGTTGGCATTGGCCAATACCAGACACAGTATCAGTGCAGTATTTGTTCCTATATGTGGACACACATCTTCTGCCTCTGGTATTCAGCAGCTGGAAAGACCATGTACATTACAAACCACTAAGTTTCTCTCAACTGCCTCCACACTGATTTCAGCTTAAAACACGCCTTCCAGAAAGATATCCTGAAGAGAGCAAGATATGAAAATTCATCATTTATTTTATTTTTTTTTTCCTCAAATGTTTGATCATCATTCCTGGTTTGGTTTTGGGTTCTGTTTTGTTTGGGGTTTTTTTTCTGGCTTCAGGTTGTACCTTTTCCAAAATATAGCCGAGATCTACATGTTCTGCGAGGATTCTACCACCACTCAACAGGATCACATCTCATGTCTTGAGTAGTGTAACGATCGATCAAACAAAACTGGGTATTCTCATCTCTTCATTCATATAACAGGGGTATATGAATTAGGTATATGAATCATTAATCATGTTTGAATTTACTGTTATCCCATTTGACTCTATGCTGTTACTTATTACTGGCTATGTACCACTGCCAAAGAATGCTACTCAATTAGGTTCCTGTTGTACAAGCACAACTAGCTTGCGATAAAACTTTAAACAGGAGCTAGCCTGATACTTTCATTTACGGGAACAGAAGACAACAAGGAGAACAAATGCATCAACTTGAGAAATAGCAGTCAAAACAAACCAGCTACTTAGCCATACAAATTCTCTGCAGAGTAAAGTTTAATGAAACAAGTGAAAAATCTAGCTAGGGGGATGAGAGCAGCAGATGCCAGAAGCAGCAAGGCAAGGAAAGGGAACACAATCTCAGCAGGGGCTAACAGATGACCTATAACAGAAAAAGCCAGACAGGGAAAATAACTATTCCACATTCCACTTCACGGCAAAGAGAGATCAGGAGGAAAGATACAGAAGGAGTTATTTTAATCTTGGCCATCCCAAACCTCTCTATCTCAGCTCTACATGCTACTAGGAATGTAGGTCTAACGTCTTCAACTACTGAAGCAGTATATGCCAAAAACTTGTCTAGATTTTCCACTTGTACCAGCTAGACGAATATAAACATTATCTCTCCCTAACAAACCTTGTTTCTCCTATGTATCTAGACTGTCACTACTATATGATGACTATTTAAACTGTGGAACAAGATGTCCAAATATGTCATGCAGGGAGTTTAAAATCAGGCAGCTCTAGGCATAATTTATAGAAGCAATGTTACTCATCACAGTGCTTTATTCAGGGATAGCTGTATGCGTAAACTACTAAAAATCTGACTTTTAAATACACTAGATCATTGAGTTAGTAGTAGTGAAGTAGCAGGTCAATCACAACGGTATAAATAAATCTCATCATAAAAAAAGACTAACATGAGTTAGTTTTGACACTAATTTTAAGAAATAATGTAAGTGAAAAGTTGCGTATAGGCACATTCACTTACACTTTATAGGCTCTTTCATTCTAAAAAGGATCTATATCCACTAGAAAACAAATACAAATGTTTGCCATCTCCTTTGGAGTAATTTAGTATCATAATACTGATGTGATGTGATAGTTGGAGGCCATCTTGGCACAGCAATCACGAAATGAGAGAGGTTTTGGTTCTCAGAGAAATAAGGAGGGGGCTCAGCAGAACTGCCACCTTGGACTTCTGGAGGGCAGACTTTGGCCTGTTTAGAAGCCTGGTTGACAGAATCCTTTGGGAAACAGTCCTGAAGGGCAAAGGAGTCCAGGAAGGTTGGACATTCTTCAGGAAGGAAATCTTAAAGATGAAGCAGCAGGGCATCCCCATGTGCCGAAAGATGAGCCAGTGGGGAAGACTGGCCTGGCTAAACAGAGTGCTTTGGCTGAACTGTTAGTGGTGTTCCCCAGGGCTCAGTATTGGGTCCAGTTCTGTTTAACATCTTTATCAATGATCTGGACAAGGGGATTGAATGCACTCCCAGTAAGTTTGCAGATGACACCAAACTGGGCAGGAGTGTTGATCTTCTGGAGGAAAGCCCTACAGAAGAATCTGGAAAGGCTGGATTGGTGGGTTGAAGCCAGCTGTATGAGGTTCAACAAGGCCAAGTGCCGGGTCCTGCACTCGGGTCACAACAATCTCATGCAACACTATGGGCTTAGGGATGAGTGGCTAGAAATTGGAGAGGGGCTGTGTGGGGGCCTTGGCCACAAGCCGATAGTGTGCCCAGCTGGCCAAGGCCAACAGCATCCTGGTTTCTATCAGAAATAGTGTGGCCAGCAGGAGCACATAAGTGATCGTGTCCCTGTACTCAGCACTGGTAAGGCCACACCTTGAATACTGTGTTCAGTTTTGGGCCCCTCACTACAAGAAAGACATAAAGGCACTGGACCATGTCCAGAGGAGAGCAACAAAGCTGATGAATGGCCTGGAGCACGAGTCTTGTGAGCAGCGGCTGAGGGAGGTGAGGTTGTTCAGCCTGGAGAAGAAGAGGCTGAGGGGGGACCTTATTGCCCTCTACAACTGCCTGAAAGGAGGCTGTAGCGAGGTAGGTGTTGGTCTCTTCTCCCAGGTAGCAAGCAATAGGATGAGAGGAAATGGCCTCAAGTTCTGCCAGGGGAGGTTTGGATTGGAAATCAGGAAAAATTTCTTCACAGAAAGGGTTGTCAGGCACCAGAACAGGCTGCCCAGGGAAGCGGTTGAGTCGTCATCCCTGGAGGTAGTTAAAAGATGTGCAGATGTGGCACTTAGGGACATGGTTTAGTGGTGGGATGGCAGTGTTAGGTTAACGGTTGGACTTGATGATCTTAAAGGTCTTTTCCAACCTAAACGATTCTACGATTCTATGATTAATTTGGGGGGAAAAAAAAGACATACACAACCCAACACTCCCCCCCTCCCCCCCAACACCCCGGAACTTAGCAGTACTTAGTAATTCTTGTGATTTTTTTATAGAAGTGTAGATGTAAATCACAGTTTTAGGGAAATGGGATATAGAAAAGAAAGGGTGGTAAAGGCATTAACTGACTGTGTAACAGATACTGCTCTGTAGAGTCAGAAAAAAGACAGGGAGTGTGGGGGGAGTGAGATTAGCTGATGCCAAAAAAACCAAAACCACAAAAAAAAAAACCCCAAACCAAAAAACCCACCAACAAAACCCCACCACCAAAAACACCAAAAACCCCACCAGCTAATAGAATGGTAAGAGATTTTACAAAAGCACCATGTCACATAAAGGCATGACAGGAAGGCAAGAATGAAACTGGAAATGGTATTCTAGGGAACCTAAAGAGTCCAAAAGCAATAGGCTGTGAGAAATGAAGTAGTGTTTACTGAGCACACAAATCATGGCGACTGGGTTGCACAGCACGAAAGATCTGCTAAAAGTATGCATTATGCCAAATTGGATGCACAGTTATGGAAGAGTGTTGAGAGGCAAGAAAAGAGATGTATTTGGCATGGACAGATTGTAGCAGAGTAAATAAAAGTTTATATACATTATGTGGATATACACTAAGAAAATAGAATGCTAAGTAGCAGTAGCTATATGTAAATCAATATTACCATTAATAAATCAGTATTACTATATTGAACTTGAACTTCCTTCGAATGTACAAAATAAGTGACATTTAAAGTTCCAAAGTCTTTTGTCATAATGCAAATAATGAACTACCACAAGCAGTCATTTCCATTTTCAGATACTGGATTGAACTCAGAAATAAGAATTTTTGATCTTACTATCTCAACTTGAAGTGCAGCAGGTTTAGTAAACTTACATTTTTGAAGAGCTGTTCTGCAAGTTCTCTAACATGCTTTATCATTTTTGGTGGATTACCTTCCTCAGCTTTAATTCTTTCGACTTCAAAGGCTACCAACTTTAAAACAAACAAACAAACAGAATAAAAATGTTGATAATTCAACTAAAAATAATTTCTTTCCTATTTAAGTTATGAAATGTTAATCTTAAATTGCAACTGAGCAAAAAAACCTGAACACTGAAAAATGTGCAATGTCACATTGCTCTGGAACATGAGGTATTTCCACTTTCTTACAGAGCTTCTGTTACCAGGTTTTATAGTCCTACCTAACACAGAAAGTCCTATGTACCTAAAACATTCCTTTAACATTTCTAATACCACAATCCCTATTTCTTATATATACTACTACCATGCAGAATTAATACCAAGCTCTATTTTTACTCTACATTCAAATAAAAGCCAGCACAATAAAAATACAGCATTACTTTTTAAAAGAAAAAATGTTTGACCCAGTTTATATTGTTGGCTATGTATTTAATTTAATATTTCTCAATTACTTTTTGAATGTTTCTAAGAATATAATTAAGTTACTCCAAATAATTCTGTACTAGCACATGTGATGCATTATGAAGTCCCAAACCTGACAATAGGAACAGCATTACCACGATTGTTTAGCTTCAAGTGTTTAACTTCATACTTATGAGCAGGGCATAATTTTACGGCAGTAAGCTAGGAATGTATACTTAGTAGAAAAGGAGAACTGAGAAATTTAGTATAAACAGTGAGGATTCAGAAGCATTTCAATTGGTTTTCACATCCTGAAATATCATAGGTACATTTTAATTTCCTTGGGAATACAGAAACAGTTTTCACCTCATCAAAAAGATCACAGGCTCTGAAAGGAGGACCCCTCTCTGAAACAAAACCAGCAAATGCCATTCCATTGAGAACTTTGGTTAGGAAGTCATTCTCAATTAAGCCTCGCTGCCCCAAGAAGGCTGCCTGCAGTAAAGACAGAAAAAAAATGCATGTATTTTATCAGTATCCAAACTGCAACCAACTATTTATGTACTAGCAGTTAAACATTTTCACCAGCTTACAGTAGTATCTGTTACTTTCTAATTAAATCTTTTATATTACCTAGTATTTTTTATACTTAAATTAATGTGTGATGTAACAGGAAGTTTGATGCACACATTGTATAAATCTCACAGGCAATAGTAGAAAACTAGTACTTTCAAGTATTGTTTCCTAATTACATACATATGTTTTAAAAATTCCTTAATGATTCCTCAGATGTATCTTTTTATTAAATTTTGATGTTAACTTTGTTTCACATTTCATCACTGTCCCTGCAATTATTCCCACTAAAATGCACTGATACAGTGCTATGTCAAAATGCTATGTTTATCACATGCAGATTATTTTATTTTTTTTAAACTTTAATACTTGTTCAAAAGGCAAGCTTGTGGGAATAATGTGACACAAATGAATACTAACTAAGTATAAGTAACTGCTTCTCTTTTACCTTATGGAAATGAATTACTGGTTCAGCATGAATTCTGATCAGCTGAAGACATGACCTGTATCCTTGGAAAAGTTGTGCAAATAGCCGAAGGAAGATTGCTCGTACTTCTTTATCCTGTAAACAGTAATTGAATACGCTGTCAAAACATTTTCGTATTCTAAATTTTTCCACACTTTGTATAAAGCCATCTGAGAAATGCTGAGAAATTCATCAGACAATGCAGAAGTGGAGATACTTGTACACATAGGAAGTTACCTCATATGAGTCTACAGTTTCACTGACCTGTCCTCAAATGGCAATGACAGATTTAGTACATATTCACCCCTTTTCTCCTCCTGCTCTTTTCTATGCCTGCACAACAACCTCTGGGCAATGCAAGTGTAACTGTTGAGGTGGTCATGTGGTGAACCACATGAAGGAACTGCCACGAGAGAAAACTGATGCTAAATAAAGGAGGGTATTTCAGCATGGACTTAGTCCCTACAATAAATGTGGCTCTGCAGCACTACACAAGCAGTGCCACTGGAGTGGGCAGGGGTGGCAGGGAACCACAGGCACCTAAGCTGCCATTGCTGCTGCTGGGGGAATGTCCAGGTTTTGGCTAGGATAGTTAATTTTTCTCCCAGTAGCTGGCACAGCACCGTGTTTTGGATTTAGTACCAGAATAACGTTGATAACGCACTGATGCTTTAGTTGTTGCTCAGCAGTACTTACACTAAGTCAAGGACTTAGGAAGCTGGGAGGGGGCACAGCCAGGCCAGCTGACCCCAGCTGGCCAAAGGGCTATACCAGACCATATGACTTCATGCTCAGTATAGAAACTGGAGGGAGTTGGCTGGGGGGCATCGATCACTGCTTGGGGATGGGATGGGCATCGGTCAGCAGGTGGTGAGCAACTGCATTGTGCATCACTTTTTTTATATATGCTTTCTCACCATTATTATTATTTTCTCTTCCTTTGCTGTTCTATTAAACTATCTTTATCTAAACTCATAGGGTTTAGGTTTTTTTTTTTTCCCTGATTCTCCCCCCCCATCCCAGCAGGGCAGGGGGAGGGGGAGTGAGCCACTGTGTGGTGCTTAGCTGCCGACTGGGGTTAAACCTGGACAGGGAACCAGGCTCAGAGCATCACAGGCATCACCACAGTCACTGGCTGTGGCTCTGCCACAGCCAGAGGAGACTGTTCTACGCCTGCTCAGCTACTTGTCTAGCATTCTCCCAACTCATGTCTTCACTTGCCAATTTACTGCAGTCAAAACAAGCCAGGGTTAGTTTAAAAAGTTTAAAATAGTACATCTTTAAAGTCCTGGTTTATTTTGTTTTAAATGAGTAAGGGAGTGCTTACATAAACGGGTTAATGGAAATTATGTGAACAGCTGGGGGCAGACTTGGGGCAGTGACATCTTCAGCGAACCCAGACGCAACTAAAGACTCTGATCAAATCCTGTGCCACCCATGTTATTTTATCTAAACTCAAGTACGTACACAGATTGCTGCCATGTCTAAAACCTGAGGTCTTAAAAATTGTTTTATGACATAAGGTTTCTTGGTGTCTCAAAGGACTTCTAAAACAAACTCTAACTTTAAAAGTTAAAAGCAGCAAAGAATATTAGATTAATGAATTGGGTAAGAGCTGATCAACTAATCAACAAGCAAATACAACCTAAATAATGTAAAACTTAAAATTTTGTTTTAAAGAAATAAGTTTAGGTATATGCAAGAGTCTATGATGCTGTCCTACTGGAATATTTTTCTAGATGTCTTAATTTTGTAAAGGCTCACTTCACTGAGAGATATTCTCATTTTCTTTTTGTCCAGGCTGCTCTCTAGGATTTTAACAGGTACATTTGTATCCTGACTTTTTGGAGTACTTGAAAACACAGTCATTTCTTTCAGATTTAACAAAATTCTCATTTTGATACAATATTATATTCATTTATAACTTCACCATTCAAAGCGAGATCTTAGCTGAATTTTGCCATTAGTTTAAATGAAATCTGGATGACATCTTCGGTCTTCAACAATTAAAAAAATCTAATCTTAAAGCAAGAATTAAGAATAACGAATACATTTCACCACTTCAGAGTTTTACATTTTTGAATACACCTACACAAAAAACCTGAGGTGAGTTCGTGAATTGGCATTTGGATTTTAGTTTGGACCACCAACTCATGTTCAATTCTAGACACTCCTACAAGCTAAAACCAGCAGTTTTACCAAGTGGTTAAGTTATCATGGCTTCAAAACTACTTTTAATCTAAATTAGCTAGATTTTAGTAGAAAACTTTCTGTAGCCTTTTTTCAGTATAGACAACGATAAATTGTTTCATTCAGGCTGAGGTTCATTAAAGCCAATTCCAATGTTAAAAAACATACAACTCCTTTCCCAATATGTCCAAGCATACAATGCATAATAATTGTAAAACCAGTGACTTATGTTTTGCTGACACAGCTACCACTTCTATCTTTACTCATATTTACCCTAAAATCTAGATTGTGAATAACATTTTTAATATTTCTGGACATTTTTTTCTTGGGGGTGGGGTGAGGTATCTATCAGAGAACTTAATTATAACATACACACACACACACACATACAAAAAGACCAGTTTGTCCACTCATGTAAAATTCTGCAGCTTTACTGGTCTACAAAACTGAGAAGGCACAGATTTAACTTAATAGACAGCAATATTAAAAGAAAATAAGGTGCTTATATATTAATACAAATACATTTATAAAAACTTCAATCCCATTAGAATGCTATTAGAGGGCAGAAGGCATTTCTTTGCTCCACCAATAACACTATAAAGGATAAGGAAAAGAAAACAAAAAGTGGAAATTCTTAAAGAAAGTTAGTCTAAAATTTCAACAGTTCTCTACTTAAGAAAGTCAGACATAACACAGAAATCTTACCAGCATTTTTGAGTGTGATAAAGCTGTTCGTGGGGGAGGGAATGCATAATCTGCTGTTTCCAAATCAGGATGCAAAACCTAGAGAATTTTTTAAACAAAATTTTTTTCCCTCATTTTGCTGAGGAAAGGACAAATTATTTTTTCTTCTTTCTCAAATTAATATTAAGTACCTCAAATAACAGATTGAGTTAAATTATGATGACTGTATTGAAATAAAAGTAGAATTATTTTCTCAGCTTCAGGTTTCTGTAAGTGAGCTAGTTATCAAAAAACTCCTATTACAGTCGCTAAAGCTAATCGAAATAGTTAGGGATTTCAGAGCTGATTCATCTGAAGCAGATTAACTGACAGAAGATTCTTCTCTTGAAGATAAGATTTGTTCAAAAGCCTCCAAATAAGGTGTTTTCTAACTTATGATAATGATAGTAAAAATACAAAGGGAACTACTTTTTCTGGTGATTGCTTAACGTAGAATCAATCATTCTTGAACAAATAAATGCAAATAAACTTTGAGACTAATTGGCTATTCATTTCTTAAACTTCAAGACAATGTACAGTTGAAATGGATTTATGAAAACAGAAAAGAAGCTAAAATGAATAGTAACAATGCTGCTCAAACACTGAGGTTGAACTGTTATTAAAAAAAAATCATTATTAGGAAGTGAAAAATCACTAACTTCTTCTTGAATAGTGAAAAAGCATTTTAGAAGTAAATTACTGATGTTATTAACTCTAACTTCAGATAATAAATTCTTCTACAAACAGGAATGTTGGCAGGAATCGTAGTTTTAAATCTCACATTTCCAGTGTGTTTGAAAATGATTTAATACTGAAATTAATTTTTCAATCTTTAAAGGGGTGAGAGGATAGAAAAAGGGGTTTGTATCAAAACATACTAGAGAAAGTGCCATTTGAGTCTGATGTAGCAGTGGTTCTGGCAGCTGAGAAAGATGAATACATTCAGGAATTTTAATTGTGCCTCCATCCAGGTCTGCTATGATTACATCTAACTGTAAGGAACAAACAAAAATATTATCTGTAGTGTACACTGTGAGCATTGTTTAAAAGCACAACAGTTCAAATTTAATGATCTGCACATAAATCAAAACAAATTAAAATAGCATTAACTTTAATATATAGAATGTTTTTGATAAAGGAAATACTCCAAATGCTTCATATTACTGAATCTAGCTGTGAAAAATGAATGTAAACCAAAGACAGTGAAATTAGGCCAAATTTTCAAAAATTACTTCTGTTTCTGGACATTGTAGGTCCACGTTCAGTGATCTAACAGGCTGTTTGCAAAAGGACAAAGTGAGGACAACTATAAGTAAAATTACATGTCTCTAGGTTCCTCTGTAACCCTGGTTCAGTTTCTCCAAGCACATGCTTAAAAAGCAAGTATAAAATAAAATAATTGATGATGCATTTGAGAATTTTAAGTGAATTGTTCAAACTCATGACAAATATATGACAAAGCTGGAAACTGATCCATTCCTTCCCATCCTGCACTAGAATCAAATTGTTTCCCTCCTCTACTTTATAGTCTCAATGTATTTACAAAAGAATTGACGCTTTTTCTTTTTTCTCCTTCTGATTGTCTTGCCTTGCCTTTTATGATAATATTCCAGAAGCATATGTATTATTCTTATAAACATCTCTGAAGCATGGAAAAATCTCTGCAACTAAACATCACAAATGACATCGTGACTACGCATACGCTGGGTAGACATACTTACAAGCTCATGAATGTCATTACGAAACACAGAATGTACGCCAATTATGAAAGGTGTTGGTGAGCTGAGAACTTCCAATAGCTGTGCAGGAAGAATTGGAATATAGGGATAACTGTGAAAAGAACAAATAAAATAAAATAAAAGCTCCTGACTATCCCTTCACATAGGGCACCTTTTTTCTTCCTGTTACATATTACATTTGCTATAAATACCTGTATTTTAACACCTGCCATGTAAACTCCAGAAATTATTACATTATATGGTCTACAATTTAGTGTGAACAAGAACATTTTGCAAAATAAAAAAAGGCTATATTTGTAACATTTATGTTATACAGACATTATATGTGTCTACAACTTCTAGGTAACTAGGGCCATTAAAGTTATACACAATACTTCCATTTTAAAAAGATGGGTCGTTTTTGGCCAGACACCTGCAATTCAGCATTTTGTAAAATATCATTAATAAGAAGTCTTTACATGAAATCTTCTGCTTTGCTATTGAAAAGACAACTAAACACTACGGTATAGAATTCTATATTTCAGATACTGTTTGCTTGATTTGACAATTAAAAAAATTTAGTGTTTTCATCAGAGCAACATGAAAATATGTATCTAAATTGATCAATGCATTTCAACACCTGATTTATAGTTATTGAAAATTTACATTCATTTACATTCATGACTATTTTAGCATTATGAAATACATTCCAAAATTCACTTCCAATTTTTTCCTTCTTATTCTATATTAAAATGAAGCCCATCTCTCAATTAGTTGAAATAAAAATATGCTACTAGACTACAAGAATCTTTTAAAACAGGTGAGTGAGAACTAGATGTGTTCTTCCTAAAAAAGCCAAATAGCTTGACATTAAGTTTTCCGTTTCAAAATGCTGGATTCAGATGTGGCTTTTTAGGGAGAATCAATTTGATCATTTAAGTTCATTTTCTGGTGGACATTTGCCAGTGAGTTAAAACTGTGACACAAGCTAATGTAGATGTTATCTTAGAACCACAGAATCTTGTGGGTTGTAAAGGGCCTCAGGAGATCATTTAGCCCAACCTTTTGCTCAAAGCAGGGTCAAGACTGAATCCAGATCAAGTTGCCCTGGGCTCTGTCCAATTTGGTCCTGAAAACCCACAGGGATGGAAGCACCACAGGCGATCTGTTCCACTGCTTAGTTATCCTCATAATAAAACATGTTTTCCCTGCACACAGTCAGAAACCTTCCTCTCCACTGTGTTGGTTTATGACCCCAGTCTCTTGTTCTGTCATGCACCTCCTCTTACTTGTTGCCAGGCTGTTATTAGGTCTCCCCTGTATCTTCTCCATGCATTTACTCATGGACCATAACTGTCAAGTTTTATCATCCAACCGATGTTGTGAGTAGGGTTTCTATTGTATTTGTAGGTTGGATGTTTCTCCTGTTTCTACTGTCATGATGCAATTAGATTTTTTATTAATGATAGGTAGAGACTAGAACTTGTATATATGATCATTAGTGCCTTTGCTTATTTGGACAAATATAGCACAAATCTTTTGTTAAGGACAATGTAATGTAAGTTATAAAATCAATTACAAAATTAGTCAAAGAGTTCAAAGATTCAAAGCTCAACTCACCTATATTTGAGGGGAAACATCAAAGACTCCAGAGCCCTACAGGCATCACTGAGCCTCTGAAAACTTGTGGAGTGAAAGAGAACTTTGTTTTCTGTAAGCACTGCACAGAATAAGCTGAGTACGTTTTGGATTCCTAAAAACAAACAAACAAACAAACTGTAACAAAATTCCAAAAAAAAATAATCAAAATTACATTAAAATGTACCATTTTCTGGAGGACTTTTCAAAAACCATATTATGAATGCATAAACTGTCAAACCCTACATTTTTCTACCTTTTATTTAACTAGTGCAGCTTCCTTTCTATTTTTCAGGTTGCTAAAATCTATCTGAATATATTCCTACTTTTCAAATATACTGTATTATATCTCCCTTTCAATACCACTTATAAGGATTTCCTCTTCTCAGCACAAACCCCAGCAATGCTTAATAATGATTTCAAACAGTATTATGTGTATTTCTGCATAGCTTTCTGTGTATCTAGAATTCAATTCTGGTTGCTGATCCAGGCAACTTCTAAACCGTTATGTATCTCCATGGGGGAAAACAAAACAAAACAAAACCCCAAAAAAGATTCATACTGCCGAGCTCAAAAGAAAATGACAAAGACTTCCTAGTAAATACACTTACACTTTACCCATGGAGAGCATTCTGAAAGCCACAAGGTTAAAAAAGGGCAGTAAGAGCGTACATGACATTAGAAGGATATGCTAAAGAAGAGCTGACTGTTTAAACAAGCCCCACTAGATTTAGGGTAAGACTCACGAATCAGATTGGGGGGGGGGGGAGGGGGGAGGGGCTAAGACAATATAATTTACCTAGAAGACAAAGCCATGTGCTTTCAGGGAAAACCAAAAATACATTTCCTTTAAAACAAAGTCCCATCCTGAGAAGCAGACAGGTCTCAGATACATGAGATACGATGAAATTTATGAAATTTCCTGAAATATGCTGGAATGTATGATGTTTCCCTGAGGACATAGCTTGCATTATCAGTAAGACAGCCTGTATTACCTTTACAAAGCTGCTGCTTATCTTGCAATAACCTTCCCAATAAGAAGTGTGACTCCTGAGAGCCGCTATATTCATATGATAATTAACGCATTGTTTTACTTAAGTAATTTTTATTACATGTTTTGACAAATCTTTTTCTTCTACGTTGTTGCATGAAAATTTGCTTCACTGGAGTGGAGCTTGGTTCATAAATATAAAGGGACAAGAATTTGGAGAGGGTTTTTGAGAAAAAGACTTAATTCTTAGGATGAACAAGTCAAACAATAACATAAGAGCTTGTGCTTTCAAAGTCCATTCTCCAGGAATCCTAAGGACACACTCATGAAATCAAAGGCAGAGACTTGAGGGCACTCAAGGACAGGCAGCTTTGTTATAACGCTGAGTGAGTTACTGTTGCAAATATTTGCTATTGTTTTCAGTGGCATAATTAATACTGTGTTAGTATAAACCAAACTGCTTTATAATACACAGTGTAAGGATAGTGTTAAAAAAAAAAAGTCTAGTTTCCCTATATGAATGACATAGCATTCATCAGTGAATGGTTAGAAGCTAACTTGAAATAGCATCCTTGCTTCTGTATGGATGGATGTATTTGAACACAAAGTTAGAAACTGCTGCCTGTTTAAAACCATCTCTGTAAGAAACTAAAAACTTGAGCTGCCCTTTTTATGTAGAGCTACCCTTGTTCCTTTCCTGAAAGATTTTAAAGATTGCTTTGGAGTATACATTTTGTTTTAAACTAAGTTTTTTTCTTCAAGCTAAGTAGGCTTTTTACACCATTTCATTCCACATCAAACATCTTATTAAGACACTTAGGAATATATTTTTTTTAAACATATGACACTTCTTTCCTATAATGAGATACAAAAATTCTCAAGCAATCCTCTATAAAACTTTGATGCTCTGGCAGGTATTACTGAGGAAAATAATCCCTACAAAACTCACAAGTATTCATGACATCTGGTACAACTAAATTCTCTAAAAAAAACCCCTCTTGTGATCAAAATATCTAAAGCTAAAAATTCTTGAAAAAAAATGCTTGTCCATTCTGCATGTCTTAAAATTGCAACCTAGGCTATCATAAATTAGCAGGTCTTCTAAGGAATAGCAGGGAAAAAAAAACAGTAAGGACACTGGAAATATCCAACCTTCTCTGTGAGTTTGAGCAGGGACAGATGAAAGCCATGACCAAAGCAAGGAAACAGGCTGGTAGGGGCAAGGAAAGCTCACTGGCCAACTGCTCAGGTATCAAAAAGGGATAAGAAGCATTGCCTCTCCGGTCTGGCAATCCCTGTCACACATCCAAGCTAGCAGGTCCTTGGAAAAAGCAGTTAAAAGCAGCTGTGAACAATGCGCATTACTGCCCGGCAATCGATCACGAGCTAAAATCCCTGCGCAAGGGAACACCTCAGCAGAGCAGCAGAGAACCAAGGGCAGGGAACTCCCTGCCCATCTGGGCTAAGTCCAAACGTGCACAAGAAGCCTGCATAGGAAATGTGCGATAGCTACCTAATGTAACCGACGTAACTTTATGGCTGTTCTTAACTTCAAGCTGAACCTGGAATTTTCAGTGGATTGAAATCTCCATCTAAAAGTATTTCTAAATTCTCTCAGCCATTTTCTGCGTTCTGAATGCATAAAAAGCTGAAAGTCACCTCACCAAAACTGGCCACATTTCAGCAGAAACAGAAAAGACCAGGAATCTTGTGCGCTTGCATTTGAAAATAAAATTATTTTCATTTCTGCAAGGTACCTACCATACAAATGAATACACCATAATGAAAGTATTTGCCTTGTCCCATGTAATCAGAGTTCATCTACAAATATATAACTTACAAGAAATAACAACACAATTCAAGAAAACCTCCAAGAAATAACCAAGGTCACTTCTTTAGGTACCTTTCACAAAAGCCAGTTTAAAATGGGAATGTCACTGGCTCTTACTCTTTTCTTTCCTGACTGAAAGCTTCACGGCCTAAGAAAGATTAAATTTATACCTAAGAAGAGGTTCTGAAGTTTTGGGGGGTTTTGTTTTGTTTTTGTTTTTTTTTTTTAACAGAAGTGTTCTGTCATTCAGAAGCTAATCACCAATTTTGACCAACTTCTTGAAAACAGGCCACTCAGTTGGGAAATGGACTTGGACAGTGAAACCCAGGCTAACCACTTCCCCCGACTGAAAAACTTGTACAGCCCAGACAGCTGCTTTGGTACCAGTTGTTTTCCTTCCCTCACTCTCTCTTTTTTTTAAATAATTGGTATACTATACAGAAGAATTTAAAATAAATAAAAACGAGTGTATAATACAGACTTCTAATCTGGAATTTGCTTGTCTTCAAGATGATAGCCACTAACTCAATAAAAAAATTACTGCTCCACATGTACTTGGAAATATATTTCAGGAATATGAACAATGTAGTGACTGTGAAGGAAATTTTCATCTGATAGAATCAAACAAAATTATAAATAGTAAGGCTTTTGATTACTTTCCTTTTTTAAACATTTAAACTATTGATTAAATTATTTGACCAAGCCACCAAGGTGTTGTTTCAAGCCTTGCATATTGTTTGCTTAAAATAAACAGTTCCAAATAACAGCCTGAGCCCTGTTTCCTCATGCTACAAGACAAAACCGTGTCTGTCTGTAACCTTGAACTGTATACTGGTCTTTAGACTCCACACTACATCCGATGCTAATTTGTCAGGGCATAAATAGACAACACGAAAAACAACAAACAAGCTGGTTTTTACAGATTACTCTTTTGCAGTCTACAGACAGACATCCTGTAAAATATTATACATACGCTGGAAAATTTTGAATGGAGGCTTCCTGACCTTCACTGTTTTCAAGCATTCAAAGAATCTGTAATTTGTACTAAATTATCTGACATCCTACATCAACAAATGTATCACTCTGCCGGTTTCCTGTTGTTCTAGAATTTAAGTATTTATTCAAGCATGATTAAAAAAAAACCCAAACTCAAAGTGTATTACACATGTTAACAACTGTCCTCTGTATTGCATGGAACCAAAACATTAGCACTAACTTCTTCAGACTTTTGTAAAGAGTTATAAACATGAGGTTTGGAAACTCAACTAGTTGAATACATTATATTATGCCAATACGCCATTCCTGAATTACTGGACACAAAAAAAAAGCTTAATACAGAAAATAATCCATAACTTAGCCAGACTAATCCAGGAAACGGGTCAACAAAGACTGAAAAGCCTTTCTGAAAGGCCACTGGAGAGTGCATAGTACAAGTTCTGTGCCAGGCAGTGTCAAGCTCTAAAGATAACTCGGAAAAAAGTACAGAAAACAAAACTCTTTTCATTTTTATTGTTAGATTTAGCTGCATAGCACTGCTAATGAACAAAATACGAGCTTAACTAATAAACAAGAGGCAACAATTGTACTCAATATTCATATAGGTAATCCTTGCCAAATTGCATTCATTTGTCAATCCAAAAATTACACGGTATCTCCAATGAACTACACACAGTTAAAACAACCCCCAAAATTGCTAAGTCACTCAGATCAGGATCAATTCACATTTAGAAAAGTATACAGTTCTGTTATTAGAGTAGGACTGCACTGCACGCTGTGTGATGAGAATATAGCCAAACTTGCTCACAAATGGGGAGCAATCTAGCTGTGCCAGTAGAGAGTTTTGTGAGGGTTAATTTATCCTGTTTTCTGGCTGGGTAACAGAGAACATGAGTCAGACAAGTACCCCAAGAGATTAACTTCTTTGATCTTTGTCAGACTAAGGAGGAAGAGAAGCAGTCTCTACAGCACAGGGCCTTCAGCAAAGACCCCCTCAAAGAATCAAACATTTCATGAATGAAGTGTTTGTACTAATTTCTGAGCACATCGAAGCAAACATGGGTGTAACCAGCAGTATTGAAATCAAACCACATTTTTAGAGATAAACTTTTGATTTTGGAACTGAAGTGAAGGCAATTCAGTATCCGAACCATGAACGTTGCATGTTCTTTGTAAGAAGCAGGGCAGAATGAAGGCTTCTCTACAAACCAGCCTTTGGAGAGGGCTGGAAGAGGTAAGGAGCAGGAGGACCACACAGAAAGATTCTGGTATAAATGCCATAAAAGCCAACTGATCA